ATTTAAGTCTTTCTTTTTGCAGTTAGTAAACAAAAATTATATCTTTCCTTTCAGATGGCACAAAAGCTTAACTCGTTCTCAGTTTTTTGTTTTGTTTTTTTTAAAGTATGGCAGGGATAATTTGGGGAGGAGCTCGCAGCATCGGGAATGATCATGAGCAACTGATGTTCATTAGAACTCTTGCTAGAAATGTCTCCCTTACCTCTTGGATCTTAGAGATTTGAAGCAGAGACCTCTCATAGTAATTTTTTAATTGACTATTTTATGAAACCAGTTGCCTGACAGAGGCATCTAGCATCTTGTACTATGAATTATTTTGCAACTGGAGAGAAGGTAGCTTAGGGACCTTGAATATTTCTTCAGCTGTTGGTGGGAAAGGAAGGGATGTATATTGTAAAAGTGCTTCAAAATAGTACTGCCCCTCAGGATGCCACACTGTGTGAGGACCAAACAAGGGATTCTGAAGGTTCCTTCAAACTTGAAGACCCCACTGAAGTGACCGCAGGAGAGACCTTCTTTCAGCCTGTGTGCATCACACCAACTACAAAGGTACTGCCTAAAGCTGTAAGAAAGAACAGTGGTTCTGAATGTGTGCACACCTTGTTTACGGCTAGTGATGGATCTTAAAGAAAAAAACCCAAGATGATAGACTGCTGCTAGAAAATTCTGAACTTGCTACAGCTGTCAAGCCAGCTTATATTTAAGTTTGGAGTCTGCTGAATTCTTAAGTTTTCACACTAAAACTTTGTCACAAAAATGGATTCACTTCTCATGTGTACCCTCTGCCCACTGTTCTAAATGCTCTCTCTTCCTGCTCAGCCCATGAATTTATCCTTGCAATTTTGACTTAAGTAAAGGAATTAAGCAACTCTTGATGTTCCCCTGGCAACTTCTGTATGTGCTGCCTCCAAGCTCCAGTGCAAGCTGGCTGGCTTCTTCAGGGCAGTGACCAACTCCAGAATTGTCTTCCTTGCTTTTCCGATAGGTCCTGAAAGAGATCACAGACCAAGATATGTTTGTGAAGAAGTCCAGCACTGCTGCTTCCCTGCTCGTGAGAGATGAGGAGGCCCAAGAGAACCAGATACCATTTGTAAAGAGAAAGAAGAGAATGCTGAGTAGCAATACCAGCTTCTTCTCAGGTTGCACCCCTATCAAAGAGGAGCTTAACTGACGAGCCCATAAGATGCCCCATGACTGGGTTGTGCTGTGCTTCTTTACACCACATTGCTGGTGCCTTTTTAAAAAAAGTTGGGATCTCTTGCTGCAGTAAAAGCCTGATGACTGTCATGCCTGATGGCTTCTGGCATCAGCAAGGGAGTCAAACACTATGTCTTGCTAGATTGTGTCCCATTCTTTGTAAATACTTGTATGTGTGGGACTTGGGCCCATGGTAAGAAACCCTTTCCTCTGAAATTTCTGTAGTAAGTGGAGGTGATTTATCCAGGTTGCTTATTCCAGCTGCCTTCCTCCTCCTGAGCTGTGAACACATTGGGTACAGTTTAATCCGTAAGCTTGAACAAACTTTGCATTTGCACTGTAAATCTGGGCACTGTCTCATCCAATACAGCTGCCCTGGGGGATCTGCTGGTGCTTGATCGTGAGGAGGGACTGTCTGTAGTCTTAAACTAGCTAGCAGATATGAAATGGTGGTCAGTGTTTCTGTTCTCTTTGGGGCACTGGTCTGTCCTTATTCAATGAAGTTAGAAACTTGCTAGCCATATGTGAATATTTTAGTAATTTTAACTTGGTTTTGTAGCTTTAATAAAGTAACTACTAAAAAACCCCTGACTTTTAGTTGTACATTATTGTATACAATGAACCACACAGCCAATCTGGCCTGTCTGCAGTTAAAATGGGTCTCAAAACTGTTCCAGCAGTTTCTGTGCTGGCTGCCAGCAGGACTAGCTCTAGGTCTTTTTCTGTTGGGGTACTGCTGCTTTCCTTTCCTCTCTTTGCCACTGTGTCCTAATTTTGGGTCACAGCATGAAAAAAAAGTGACAAATGTAATTTTTTTTTTTTTTTTCCAATGATAATGGTAACAACCCAGACCTACCCTTTGCCTTGCAGATAGATGCTGCATTAGCACTGTGCCTTCCCTGAGCTCTGTTTATCTGGGGCTTGGTGCAATATTAAGGATTATGTGGCTTCTGGCTCAGTGCAAGCTGAGCAGGCTTTTCTGTGCAGGAGCTGTTCAGACATGCCTTTGTTTATTAAAGGATAAGTGGATGGTTTCTCTTAAAATTAGTCCCAACATGAATGAGCAGTGTAACTTTCCCTTCACTCTATTATGAGCTTGTTCCTTTTATGAGGAGGGGCTGGAGTTATGAAACAATCCACCCAGGTGGTTGGGAGCTGTGTGCTCGCCGAGGTGTCCAGGCAGCAGCTGAGGTGGCAGGTCTGTCCTCGCCTTTCCCCAATGCTTGCGGCTCGCTGGAAGGCGTGGGAGAAGCGCCGCTGCCCAGGAGAGCCGTCCGCTTTGACCGATGGGTGTCAGTTTAGCCTCTGCTGCTGGAAGAGGGTGAGTTTTGTGGACCTGAAGCCCGGTTGTGCAGGTCTCGCCAGCCTGTGCCCCGAGCCACACCACACATCTAGCGTGACGGGGCAGGGACCCCCCGTAAAAGAAAAGCTGTAAATCGGAAAAATGGGTGTTTTTCTGAAGTATTGCCTTAGTTGCATCCCCTTGTACCGCCCAGCTCCTGTTTGGATGCTGGGTTGACTAAGGGCTGCGCTGGAGACACCAGAAAGGTGCTGTCCCACCTGGGCAGGGAGTTGGCGTGGGCTGCAGGGCCCCCCCCGGAGCACAAGTCACCCCAACACCCAGCACTGCGGGACACGCTCGGGGCTTAAATCAAGGCAAGTGTCTTCATTTTGTGTTGGTGCGGTACCCGGAGCCCAACAGCAGCTGAGGAGCTGCCCCGGGGAGCAAGGGGGCACCACCCCCCATTAAATATCATATATAACATACATTTTTTTATGTATGTGTGTCTGAGACTGTCTGTGGAGTTGTAGAGCATATGTGTATAAGAATACATGTCACTGCGTGAACAAGAGAGTGTGTGTGTGAGTATATGTATTTATTTATACGTATATTAGACTATTACATATATAAAATAGATGTCTGTGAGCGTTGGGTGTGGCTGTGTATATTTTACATATGCAATAGTATAGATTATAGTATATGTAATATGTTACATGTTTTAGATATATAAAAGTCTGTCTGATACTGTGTGTATAGAGAATGTATAAATATAGAATCATAGACTCATTTAGGTTAGAAAACGCCCTTAAGATTATCGAGTCCAATTTTTTTATTAATATATATATATGCACACACAAATATGTGTATAAAAATGTGTGGCTTACATATAAGCTATAATATATGAGCATTATGAGATAGTGTTATATGTTCTCTATTACATTATATTTTTAATGTTATATATTGTATATTGAATATATATTTTTATCTATATATATAACTTTTTTATATATACTCACCCCAATGAAAGGGTGTCTGAGACTTTGTGTGCATGGAGTAGAAAAAAAAAAGTATATAAAAAGCATATGTTTCTATGAGGTTTAGATACGTTATATATGTATTATATATGTTAGATAATATATATTATGTTACACATTATATAGTAACATGCTGTATTATTTGCTATGTATTGTAGATATAAAAAGGTTCTCTGAGACACACTGTGTGTGTGTGTATGTGTGTGGTTTTTTATGCATGTACTATATAATTGTAAATAATGTCTCAATATATAAGTATATATAATATACAACAACATAATTATGTATTATATAATATCAAATATAAATCTGAATAACAGACTACATGATATATAAAATATGGCATATATATATGCCATATATTTTGTTTTGTTATATTATGTATTATTTTATACTTATATACAAAAATGAAAGAGTGCCTGAGACTGTGTGTGCATTTATAGAAAGAGTATATAATGTGTGTGTGTAAAAAATAGGTGACAGAGTGTAAGAGTGTGTATGTGTAGGGGGGTGGCTGTGTAAACTAAGCCTACATGCATATGTATGTATAAATATATATGTATATGAATTATTTTAAAAGGTGGGGTGTGTGAGAAGATAACATGTACTTTTATTTATCCATATATATATTTGAATAGTATATATGTAAGAGTAGTGTCTGTGAGAGTGTGGATGTGTATAATTAAAAAAATACATATTACATGTTATATATGTTGTCAAATGTATGCTGTATACATTATACATCTAAATAAAAAGGGTGTCTGAGTATAAATATATTTATCTATATAAAAGAATAAGTGTCTGCATGAATGTGTGCACATAATACAAGTGTATATATACCTATATATTATATATAAAGGGTGGCTGAATGTGTTCACATGCATGCATAATTAAGTACTATATATGTGCTATATACACACATACTATATTCTACATATGTATATACTGTCTATATATAAAAGAATAGTTGTCTTCTAGGGACAGCTAGGGATGCATCTGAGAGCATATAATACGTGTGTGTATACATACATATATATATATTAAAAAACTGCCAATATATACAGACACATGCATATATATGTGTATATATAAAACTCCCGACAAACGCGGCGAGGTCCCTGGGCAGTTGTGTGTGTGTGTGTGTAACACAGATCTGTTCCAGCTGTTTCTACACCCACATAAACAAGGTGTCTGTGGGGAGGGGGGCTCCGCCTGAGAGCAGAGTCAGTAGGAAAGGCAATACAAGCTAAAGCATTTACCAAGGAGATAGATACTGTTATAAAAACACACCACTTTTTATTGTTTAATATATAAAAACACATTAAAGTGATTATCCAGTCTTTTAGCAGAGCACACTTAGGATCCTGCTGCACAACACAAGCACCTGCAGGTACCCGAGGCATCAAGTCAGACGCGTGCCGTCAAGCTCCGGCCATTTGCCCTTTGCCAGATCCCCCTGTCTGCCACGATGACTGTGACATTTTTTAATTCAATAAACATAGAAACACAAGCTTAATAAAGTGACAAGCGACAGAGGTGCAGCTCTTTCTTTGGAAATAAATAAAGAGCAAATCTCGGCCGGGTTTTTACCTCTTCTCTAACTTTAAGCTCCAGTTGTGGGTACTGGTGTAGGTGTTAAGGTCAACAGAAACCATGGGTTAATAGATACCACAGGTCAGCCTACCTAAAAGTAATTTAAGTGTTCTCCAGAAATCCCCTCCTCTACCTTTTGTCTGCATTTCTACTGTTAAGAGAAACCTTTCACACCCACTGGAACTGCACATGGAGAACAGTGTGTGCAACTAACACAACCTAGAAGCAGCAAATGTATTTGGGGGGGTTCGGGGAGAAGGCTGATGTTCCCCAGCTATGTCCCACCTCACCCAGGACTCTGATGTTATCTGAAATAAGACACGGATACATCTGTTTGTTAGAAATAAGGTGACAGAAGAGGCACAAAGACTGTTCCTCCCGTGTAACAGTGACCAGTGCTCACCAGCGCTGCTGAGGTTCAAAAGACAGTACGGGCCACAGAAAAAGATGAGTTGCTTTTTCGTCTTTCCACTGGCAGTGATCTCTCTCTCACTCCACACCCAATGCATATTAACAGAGTATTTACACGCTCTCACGCAGTTTACAAAGAACTCTTGGCAAAACCCATCAGCCTCAATATGAATCGCTGAAGAAGGGAAGGGGATCAGACAGTCTCTTCACAAATTATCATAGTCGTCATCGTCTTCATGCTTCCTTTTCAAGGGATTTGATTCATTAGAAGTATTCTGTGACGATACCATATTTGTAGTAATAAGAATGTTCTTTGGTCCAATTAAGGAAGGATTAATGAGAACATTCTGAACTGTCGGAGTAGTTGGTGTGGCTGTGAAAAAAACCCCAATGTCATTGAATGAAAGGCTTAAAAAAAATGACAGCTGATTTTCCCCACACTGGAACAGAACTTCCAACCTAATAAAGCAGTGTGCTACTAGAACATTCCGGGCTGAAAACCCTGGAATGATCCTGAGAAGATAGGAAAGTGCTGGCAGGGTGAGCACAAAAGACCAAGAGAGCACAGAGATGGCAATTAAGGTGTAAGGGAAATCTGCCTGTATCTTCTGGTTGAAACCACTGTGCTAAAACCAGGAATTAAAACTAGAAGTTACTGGAATGACCAGAGAGAGGACTGCCTGCCTTAAGTAAGGAGACACAAAAGATTAGCGATATTAAAAATCAGAAGAGGTGAAGGTAACTTCCCACATTATTACTATAAATTAATAAATTAATTTCCATTCTGCTAAGAAGAACCCCCAAAAGTGCTGCTGATCTTTACAGCTTGTGTTTTACCTGACTTGACTGCTGCCTGAGAAGATGGGATCTGTACGGTGAACCTCTGACCGGTCAGCGACACTGGAGTGCCAACTTTTGCTGAGACAGACACTGTTTGTGCTGAAGGTGTACCTGAAATTCAAAACAACTCGGTCAAAAAACAAATTAAAAAATAAAAATAAATACTTGCACTCGTAAATTTGCATTCAAAGTGGAACCTATTATTTTCAAAGTAGTGGGAATATACAGGAGCGTACTGGTACTGCATATACAAGAGTCGGATTTTCAGGCAGAACTGCACATTTACGCAAGACCTATAAAATTCTAGGCTACAAACACACACACTAATATGTAAGTGCATGTGCTCAGTCATAAATGTTGGGAACCTTCTAAAAATGGGTTTTATTTACTGCTATTTGTAGTTCAGCATAGTGCTCACATTGAGGAAAAAAACCTCAAACTCATGTAAGTTTCTTGAACAGTCTCTTCACTTATAGAAGTTATCACAAATACAGGAATAAAAACAGAATGTCAGTAACGTATATACGTACTGAACACTACAATAATCTTTTTGAAATGAATTCAATTTTTCTGATGCTGTCAAACGATACTAAGTTCAGGTGGCACCCAACATTTCCTCAGTGGTATTACTCTTCATTACTTTTTCCATGATAGAATCAACATGGGAAACCCCAATTGAGCCGTTTCCTACCTAAAGTAGGAGTGCTGGGCCTGCTGCTCACAGCACCAACACTCAGGCGAGGGACTGTTATTCTCCCTGCAGAGGAAGAGACCTGTTGAGAGAGAACATTCGCTTTAGCATCCCATTAGGAATTAACAGTTCTTAACATGAAAACAAAGAAACGTTTCTTCCTACAAAACCACAGAGAGCCTATTTCACAGCAGCAATACACAATTTGTATGCCAACACAGAAGTTCTCAAACTTCACGGTGTGAACGTCACCAGTGTGAGCTGAAGAGCTCCTGGACATGACATAATGCCGAAGATCGGCAGGCAGCTCACCGGGCAAACAACACTCGGCTCAACCAGGTTCGTTTCCACCGGAAAGAGTAACTAGAACATTTTAATCAACAATTATTATTCCACTCTACACCTAGCACCAAGGTATGTCCCATGTCAATACCTGGAACCTTAAGTTCAACTTTTAAAATTCTTTCTTTAAAATGGGGGAAGTAAATATGAAATTGTACACACTGAGACATTCGGTATTTTCCAGCAACCAAAGAAAATCTTTTCTCTAAAGTGGAAACAACTGAGGGATGACTACAAGATACTCTTCAATACCTATACTGAAGCCTTACTTTTGCCTTTTACAATCTGATATTCAACTTGACAATTTTGCTTTAATGCTAAAAAATTCACAGATGCATTTTATAACACACTTTACATTTGAAACTAACTAGCAATGAGAACACCTGCAAATTCCTAGAGGTAAAGACCACCGACCTAGTTTCCAACACTCTGTTGCTGCACACAGGTCAGTATTTGCCCACACATACCCTCCAGAGGTGTGGAAAATTCTTAATTCCAACAACATTCCTGAGAAACAGTGTGGGCGTTAGGTGAATCCTTCCCTACGCAGAGCCCTTACCTTCTTCTGTAAGGACTTCAGTCTGTAGTTGGGAGCTGTCAAGCAGTATCTGTCAGGCGGAAGCCTGGGTCCGGAATAAGGCTTTATCAACGGCAGCGGCGTCTGATTTTTCTGCCTTGCGATATCTAACAAGAACTGGAGAGACACGGTTACATTTCCACCTGTAGCCTCTCACCGTGTTCTGTTGCTATCAACAGAGTTTTACTTACATCTCTCGGAGGCGGAGAGGTAAACGACTGGTCTGTTCGACACTGGATCGCCAGCCTCACGTCATCTGCATCCACGCTGGATTTCTTTGCGTGGCTCGAGTAAATTTTTGCATCTTCCAGTATAGTAGTCACGTACCCTTTGAAAAACAGAACCTTTCATTAAGGCCGAATGAAAACAAATAAAACCCCCCCTCCCCCGGCTGTCACCGAACACCCCCCTTATGACCGACAAGGACACCCCCCCCCCCCCGGACACACCGCAAAAACCAGCATTCCCCTCCTCCCCCCGGCCTTTCCCAGCGAGGCCAGCGCCGTTGTTCCCGCCGGGCCCGGGCCCCGCCGCTTACTGTAGGCGAACTCCAGCATCTGGTTGATGACGCGCGGCTCGTACTCCGTGATGCCCATGTCCTTCAGGATCTGCGCCATCACCTGCAGGGCGGAGAGGCACCGCTCAGCCCCGCCACGCTTACCCAGCCCTGCCCGGGGACCCCCCCCTCAGCCCCCCGCCGTACCTGCGCGTCTTTGGGAGCGCTCTTGGGAGACGCCATCTTCGCCGGCTCCATCGCTTCCGCTCGCCCTAGAGCGGGGCCGCTTCCGGTCGCGTGACCGGGAAAAGGCGACCGCGGCTACGGGAGCCGGGCGGGTGTTGCCATGGAGACGCGGCCTGGCCGGAAGAAGCCGCGGCCTGGCGGCGGCTTGTAGGATGCGGCTGTGGCCGCTGTCTCCTTGCTGTGGAAAAGCAAACAAACCCTTCGGCAGCCGCGGGAGAAACTCAGGGTTCCCCTCCCCGCGGTGGAAAGCGGGGGAGGGGGTGGGGGGGGGTACAGGCCTCACCTGTTACGGAAATCCGGAATAAAACTCTGTAACACCAATGTGAGGTTAAGGAGTGGGCACTTCGTTTATTGGCAGCGCTGGGGACACGGGGGATCGCTCCTCCAAAGGCGTGTCCCACTTGGTATCAAAATCCATCGGTTTTTATAGACTTTTTCTGTCAGGTCATTGTTACGTAAGCTCTTTATGTAAAAATACATACTATGCTCGCTCTTAAATTCAACCTTTATAATGATTGGTCCTTTGATTAGATAACCTTATCAATATTCTTATTTAAAAACAATCATTGGTCAGTTACACTTAGCTCTGCTGACTGGAACCTTCGATACTCAAATCGAGATGGGAAGGGTAAGGGGGTTTCCAAGCAGCAAACTGGTGTCCACGACAGTTTCTTGAAACAAAACATAGAAAAACCAGTAACTTCCTGGTGAGGTTTCTATGGTTAGCTGTTTCAAACTTTAACAATATTAAGGTTTCTATAGTCACACATAACACAGTTCCTAAAGTTTCTATAGCTACATTTCAAACTTAACAATCTTATACGTTATGCTTCACAATTTTACTTCTTAATCAAACCCAACTCTTCTATGTGATTAAATTTTTATTTCTTTACCAGAATTATTTGCAAGAACGGTCCGTGGGGTTGAGCCCCTGAACTCCCTCTCCAGGTCAGACTGGTATGGGTTAGACAGGGCTTTTAGCCTTCTTTTCAAAAAAATACATTTCTGTGGTGCAGATATTCCTTTTGATAAAAATATTTGTGGAGACAAAGCGATGCGCGAGGGCACAGACCAAGTCCCCCGGGCGTGGGGAATTGTCCCCTGCCTGCCTTGCTGCAGGATAGTCCAACACCAGCCATTTGTCCTGTGATGAAGCAGATGGGTGTGTTACTTCATTACCGACTTTGATGGCCACTTTTTAAATTGACAGCATTCCCAGGATTAAAGAAAAATGAGAGTATTGGCAGCAGGACTCTTTGAGCTTGTTTTCCCTGCAGCCGAAGGACCTCTACATATGTCCCATGCAAGTCCCATCAAAAGTTTCTCTCTTACTTTCTCAGGCAAAACAGAACAACAACAAAAAAGTTTTCCTGTGATTTTGTCAAACAGGGCGTTAGCAGCGTACCAGAAGAAGTTGCAGTAGTGTTGTCATTAGCCATGATGATCCAAACGAAGCAAGGTCTGGAGGAAGATGCGATATCCGCACTAGACCAGCTGATATAAGGGGGAAGAGAAGCCAACCTCCTTTGAGAGCAAGAAGAAATAAACAGCTGTTAACTTGTGACCCCTCTGATTCATGCCTGTAACGCATTGCAAAACATTCTGGCAGCAGCGAGACTCTCTCTCTGCTTCCCATCTATACCAAGGACGATGTTTAACACCTGGAAGCCATGCAGTCAGCCTACCTAGATGTGAATGCAACTTGCAAACCTGTCTAGGCCTCTGTATATATGTACTGAGATGGCGGCTGGCCCCCCCCCAAGCCGCAGGTTTGCCAGTGAGGGGGGGTGCCAGACTCGGCCTGACGGGGGGCAGAGGCAGCCCCGCGGCTGCGGCGGCAGCTGGAAGAGCTGGAAAACTCGCGTCCAGCACGTGCCAGCGCTGGAGGTGCAGGCAGCCAGAATGCCTCTGCTGAGGCTCTTTGGCTGGAAGCACTGTAGCGTCGTAGTCCAAGTCATTTGACTTTCATGAGTCAGAGTATATTACACAAAAACATCCTGCGAGGAGGGAACGGAGGATGAATTCCAGACACTGACCTTAGACAACAAACAAAACCCACTTCTTTTCCCTTGTTTTAGGGAAGAGGGGGAGGGGAGCTCTTTCACCAAGGGCTGGATGCAGGCTGTGGATCAGGCTGAAACTTGGCATCAGCGGGCCATCTGCCATCACTGCCATTTATTCCCGATGCACTAAAAAAAGAAAGATACTTTGTACTGCTGATGGGCTCTGGGTTTACCCCCAAGAGCAGCCAGAGACTGCCACCCCATCCCACGATCTCCTGTCCATGCCATGACCGCCTTCCCCACCAACCCTGCTGCGCAGAGGTGACTTTCCAAGCTGAGCGGCACGACCAAGAGCTGCAGCAACTTGCAGCGTTTCTGCCTGGAAAACAGCGGCGAGGAGAAGACACGGAGAGCCAGTTTCCACAGGGGAGATATTTGTCCCCGAGGCCACAAATGCCTTCCGTGCGGACAGCTGAGCTGGAGCGGTTCAGCCTGCCTGGCTGTGAAAGCTTCCTCCCTCCTGCCAGTCCTCTGGGGCACGGCCGTGCTGTGAATGCCTGCGTTCAGCGGGCTGCGGACACCGTGCCTGGCCTGAATGAAAAAGCAGTCACCCTTCATCTCTGCTCACACACTGGGGTTTCTTTCAGCGTTGGAAAACAGGAAACTGGGTCACGGCGTGGCCAGGACGAGCGCTGACTCCTCCGTCTGTCACCGCTGAACCGGGGACGTTCGTCAAAGGCAACTGTCTCCCAGCTGGGAGGGATCTGCTCAAAGAAATAGGGCTGACAGCCGCACACGGTTCAGCCCAGGTGAGCATGCACCAGCTGGGGCTTAGCTCTGCTCAGAGTGCATCATTTAGATCATCAACACAGAGTTAAGCATTGGGAATTTCTTCTTAGATGGGTTTTGCTGCGGTGTTTAAGGCACAGCAAAGCAAAGCCCTGGCACACAGACTGCTTTTCTATTCCTGAGGTGTTCAGGTGCCTAAATCTCTTGGAAAAAAACCCCTAGGGCCAGCACATCCACGTCTTGGAAACAGCAGCAGCAATCTCCCTAATGTTAGAACCAAGGCTCTGTCAACACAATGCAGTGTCTGTGTTCAGCACTGACCTTCCGAGCCCACGTCCCATACTATTTGGCTCTACAAAATGCTGGCCTTTGAATAGTCCTTCAGACAAGAAAAACTGCAAAGAGCAGAGCTCTGAGGAGAATGGACGAAGTTTAGTTTGTACAGGGTACCCCGCTCACTTCTGACAGTGCCCCACTTCCCAGGTTATGGAGGAATTTCCAAGGACTGTGGCTGGATGCATCCTGCTGTTGAGCTGAGCAGCGTACGCAGTCTCTCCAGTGCCAAGTGTCCCCGCTCTCTCCGGCTGCGTGCAGTTAACCTCCAGCTTCCCAGAGCCTTCCCTTGTGTTTTCCCTTCCACTGGCCCCTTTTCCCCTCGCCTCCCCCGCCCTGGCGCTTTCCAGCTCGTCATCTCTGATCTTTTCTGAAGTGGAAAGTAACTCAGGGCTAAGTGTAAGACTGTCTCATTTTGAAGACTGATGTTCAAATAAAGGCTTTCCCATCCTATCTTAATAATGTCATTAAAGCACTGTCAGTAGAAATTTCTTACTCGGCAGCATATGCTGGGGAGGAGCTCAAGTGGGAAAGGCCCTAAGTAAACACAGAACAATGGAAAATTATGTAACTGGCCCAAATGGGCTAATTAAATTTCCAGTATCAAAGAACTGTTTTACCCTACTTGGTAACTGCAGGCACTTTTTGCAGTGTAAGGAGAAAAGCAGAGTGGGAGCGCATATTTAGCGCAGCATCGTTAGCAGTGTGTAGGTGGAGGGAGGAAGATGGATGACCGCAGAACAGGCAGCACAGGAAACAGCCACAAAAAGTCAAGTGATGCCAGCTGATTTCCTCAGAAATTGTGCCACGTGCCAGGGGACTCCGGCACCCCGGGGACCTCCTGGCACACCAGTGTCATCACCACCGACGGCAGGAAAGCCATCCTGCAGGTGAAGCATCTTGTGTCTGCCAGGCACAGTGACCGCCTGCGAGCCTCCCTGTTCTTCGGCGGAGCCTGGAGGAGGCTTTTCTCAGCCTAAAGATTTCCACTCGTGGTGCTTGCAAACGCTGGAGGGAACTGGCAAACCCTGAGTGGGTCTGAGAGGCTGTTCCCATCCAGCTCCCGTCAGGGGGACTGCCTCCCCTTGCGGTTCCTCGGCGATCGATCCAGTGCCCCGCTGCCAGACCCGGCTCTACGCATGTAGTGGGATTCACAGGACTTGAAAGGAAATGCAAAAAATAGCCCTTTTCCAAACACCACGAAGCTAAGGGTAAATATCGGGATGGTAAATATGTTTTATAATGGTCAATATTGTTTTTGAAAGGTTGGGTCTGACAAATGCTGGATGTGTGAATCTAATGTTCTTTTACTTCTTGTAAAATGGACTAATCAGCATTTGGGTATTTATCTTCATCAGCTACACGGTTATGAGCATAATTTTGATTTTTTTTAACTGATCATGTAAGAGTCACTGCCTAGACGATCGGTGCTTGGACCCTCGCTTCAAAACATGCCTCTCTTCTACCGTGACTCAGATTTCTGTCGAAGGGGAAGACGAAGCCAGCCCAGACCTCAGCTTTGGAACCAGACATGGGCTCCATCTCAAATCACAGATATTTCAGAAATGACACAGACTCCTCTGAAGATCAGTCTTTTGCTTTGTTTGACATCCATGTTTTGATGCCCATGACTATAATTTCCATCATCCCGTTTTTCTTGGGAGTCTCTGGGAATTTGATAACGATAGCCATTTTCAGACACTCACAGGAGATGAGGACAATGGTGAACATGTACCTGTCCAGCATGGTGCTGTCAGACATGCTGATTTTCCTCAGCCTGCCTTTGGACCTCTACCGCCTTTGAAAGTACAAGCCCTACGTATTTGGGGATTTTCTCTGCAAGTTCTTCATTTACCTGAGCGAAACATACACATACTGCACCATCCTGCACATCACCATTGTGAGCGTGGAGAGGTACTT